TTAGGTAAAAATAAAATGATCCTCCTTTACAGTACAATAAAACTCTGCTGATCATTCAACACAGTTTAACAATAAATGGTCTTAAACGCTGCAGATAACTGCTCATTCATCGACCTTTAACCCTGAAGTTTGGCGTGCAGACTGCTGGTCAGCACAGCAACGATAACAGTCTCACCTAGCTAGTAGCTAATGAAAAGGCAAAGAGAAATTTTTAAGACGAATATCAATAATTTGGAGATGAATGGACGTTTATGTGCACTCAGCTGGTTTCCTGATACGTTTAATCTGCAATGAGAAACTGTCAAACACTAAAAAGAAGCGAGGCTGAGGTCAGATTCTCGTTTGCCAGTTTCTCATTTGGATTGACTCGTTCCATCTTAAATAGTGCAGCAGTTACATTCAGGCACCTCAGGCACCATTTAAGGTGGAGAAAATTCTAACAAGAAGCTGGCAAATGAGAAGCGACTTCAGCCTCGTAAAACGTCGAGCGTTGAGAGACATTTTACACGAAACTCTTCTACTTTTGAGGAAAGATGGCTCTTCTGAACATTTGGGTTGCCGACCCTGGGCTAGACAGAACTTGGACAATTACACTGGGCCTTCATTCATTCAAGAGTTCTTAAGAGGATTTCCTCCAAAGTTTCTGACATTCACCAAGTTTCTACACACACTCAAGAGCACAAAGGTGTGAACAACTCTGCGGTTTAAGTACACGTCATGAATCTGATGTAACTGACTTGTTCTTAGGACCTTCCTCACAAACAAATTTAAGAAAAAACTTTGGAAGATACTGGTGAATAAGAACCCCTTTGTCAACATGCCAAACAGAACAGTAAAAGAACTCCAGTCAGCCAACACTCAGCTGTAATAAACTGTAAAAAAAGTCATGGGACATAGAGGTTTAGAAGTGACTTACTGATGAAACATGTAATACAAATTGTGTTTAGTTTTGGATTCTTATAATCAAATGTATGTTTATTTGGAGCACAAAGCAGTTTGATTTGAAAGTATGCTCAAATACTGTTTCAGTCATTTACGGTAGCTCCTGGAAACATTTTTGCTGTACTGAAAATGTAATTTCTTGCATGCTATGGATAAAACAGTTATGTGTTCCGATTATTATTATTATTGTTGTGTTTCAAAATTGTAATAAAGAGCAAAATTGTCACAATATAAATAAAACCTTAAAAGGCACCAAGTTTAGAACAAATAGAAGATAGTCGTGGCAGGAGGGGCGTGGCTGAGTGTTAGCTACAGGACAGGGTGGCAGCGAACGTTTCGCCTCAAGAGGGCACCACTGGTGGCAACATCAGTTCAGCTCTTTCTAATGTTTTCTTTTCGTGTGCGAGTCTGATGAGATAAAACAGCACATAAAACATTCTGAATATCAGGCAGTGTATGCCTCTCTACAGCAGACACAGGCACAGATTGGGGAAGTGCACTGCGTCATTTGTAACACTTTGGAGTCAGTCCAGTTTTGAACCTTAACTCCCATCTGGATAGCAGAGGGCTTCAGCGATTAGACCCAGGCTGATTAAACACGAGGCACACTAAGCAAATACAAACCAGTGACTCAGACACACATTGGCAGTTTTTCAACCAACCAGTCAGTTTATTATGCTAGCTGACCACACAAGCCAGATCTCACAGCTTCACTTGTCCGTTCATCACCGGTGAATTTTCATTCACTCAGTAACAAAATGGCCAACCTTTTACTGCTAAACAAGAACCTCGCTGAAGCCTAAATACAGACAGCGTGCTACTTGCGCTACTAGGGAGAGTTGCACACTTGATCAATGCTACGCTGTTTTAAAAGAATGCATATCGCTCTTCTTCACACCGCTTTGGGCCTCTCATGGGCCTCTCTGAAGTTAGGCAGAAGATAAATTCTGATAAATCTGTGGTTAGTACTATGAAGAAGTGGACAACTGACAAAAGACAAGCTACAGGACTGTCTAGAAGATGCTGATTGGAGTCTGTTTGAGCATGCAGTCTATAACCTGGATGAACACACTCAGTGCGTATACATGCACTCAATATTCTGATCATAATCAGATTTCTGCTGTTATTCGAATATTCAAATGGTCATGTAAACACCATACTCTGATATAGGAATCTGATTAAGAAATCTGATAAAGAGAGCTGGATTTTAGCTCAGTAATCAGATTTCGCAGTGCATGTAAACTCTTACTCCGATTTCTATCGGATTTCTGAGTCTGCGTATGCATGAGAACAGACGTTGGATGTCGCGAGATGGCAGCAAAACACTGTTGGAGCAGTGCTAAAACCAAACGTGAAATAAAGCATTTAAATATTCTTCATCTTCTAAATGATGTAAGTTCATATTTTCAGGTAAAATGGCAGGATATCAAAAAAGCCGCAGTATGAAGCTTGAGTTTTATGTTTACGTCACGTCTTGTTCTTTGAGTCTATTGGCTGGTTGCAAAGCAGACTTCCGATTATTCCCTGATTTATGTAGACCCGGAGTTTCCCTTTATCTGGTTACTGAAGTGCATGTAAATGTGTTGATCGGACTACTGACAAAATCTGATTTTCTGCAGTTATCGGATCATTGAGTGCATGCAAACGCACTCACTGACACTGTGACATCTTAAGGCAGCTTCTGTGAGGACATTTGTGTTACTATGGTATCAAATTCAATACAGGGACGACAAGCCCTGGTTCAGTTTTAAGGTCAGACAGTTTTGTTGGCCCAATGAGGTGGCACATAGAAGTGGAGCCTGCACTGGATATCTAGGAAGAGAATGAGTGCCGACTCTCAAATAGTGTTTCAGCCTCCTGTCTGAAGGTTTGGGCTGACCACCTTGCACCAGTCTCCACACTGATCTTGAACAATACCTTCCTGCTTCAAAGGCCTTTCAGAGACTGGTAGTACCACACCTGAAGGAGGGCACGAATTCATGTTAGACCTACTGCAGTTCGCATAATAAGCCATTAACAAGAATCCTGTTTTTGGACTTGATGCCATTCGCTGTCCTCCTTGCCCTTTTCAAGACATCATTTCACACCACTGTTTGCCATCACATCCCAAGAAAGGCCCCAGCAAACTTGAATGCATGCCCCTACCGTACCAGACTTTGTGCATGAGGACCCAAGAGAATTCTGTAGACTGAAGCTGGTTACAGAAAACATCTTGCCTGAAAATGCTACTAATCAGACTTAGCAGATTCTCTTAGACCACCTCAAGCTAGAAGCAAATCTAATTGCTGATTACTACAGCAATAGCAGATACTCATAAGCACACATCATGCAGGCTTTTACACAGCATTATGGGCAACCCCTTAAGTATACCAGGGCCTTCAGCAGTAACAGCTATAGCACATTCCACCAAGTTAACCTTCTGTCAGAGGATAAACTTCTTTGATTTATCTGGAGAGACTTGGACAAGGACAAAACCCCACAGCAAATTTTGCTGTTTGGAACCACTTGCAGTCCCTGCTGTGCCACCTCTGCCCTGCAAAAGCATTTATTTTTTTTATGTAGCTAGAGCTCTGGCTTCTTCAGGACAAAGCAGACACTCGGGAGAATGCCCTGAGGCTAGGGTAGTACTTTGAGTAGTTCTGTGGCAACTATATACAACACTTGCAAAGTCATAGCCAGCCAATATGACCACCTTGACTACCGTATTCCCTTCAGAACTAGAGCAATGGTTCTTTTACAATGGTTGTGGGACTAAATGGAGAAATGGGATCCCCTGTTGCCAAGAGACTCAATGCCTGGCAGTCTTGGGCATCTTGAACATATTACATTCCCTAGATGCTGTGTAAGTACTGAGATGGACACATCAAACCCCATCAGAGACATGAGTCAGAGAGGGCCTACGGCTCAGTGACTTATCTCTGCGTCATTCATTACTGCCCGTTTCAGAGTTGCACCAAAATGTCAACAGTTGATGCACAGGTTAGGACTGTGTGTGGCGCTAATTGGTGCCAAGCTTGCATTGGTCTTTTATCAAGAGTTTACCCTAGAAATTCACCAGCAGATATTGCTGACTGACTCTACCACAGTCCTCACTTGCCTCTCTTTTGAGTCTTTGTCAACATGCATATGGCAGAAATCCAAGATCTAACCAGCCCCGACTCATAGACGTATGTTGACCCCACCCACAACCTTGCTCCGGGATCTTGTTCAACACACCAGATGGAACTCCAGCCCCTCATACCTAAAGCAGCCACCAGAACTCTGGCCCAAAATGGTGCCATCATTAGTTATGGTTGATGATGAGGAGTATAAGAAGCCCAGCTGCAGCTTTACTACTAACATCTCTGCAATTACTCAGTACTCAACCTTCAATGAGCTTTTAGATGCAACAGAGAGGCTTCCTGAGGCAGCAGATAGCATAGAGTATCTTTTAACACTAGACTATTAGGCAGTTCAACTTGCCCTGAGTCAGCAGTCTTAGAAAGACGGCTTTGATCATGAATACAGTGCAATGTAGCAGCCAACTCGTCACTCTATTGTCAGAATTAGACACCACAACTGACCTAATTTCACTGAATTACCAAATTATTATTTAAGGACTTTGATTGCTAGCTTCATCATTGCAGGTCTGAATGAGCCTTTGTTGAAGTACTGGGTCAGTATTGGATTCTGCAGAGGCAGATTCATCTATTCATCATGACCAGCGATGCTGTGTTGACTGTCAAATATGAAGAGGCAAGCCCAGACTACCTGACATCTCCACCACTGCAACTATGATGATGCTTATTGCCCAAATATTCCACTCCACATTTAGAGATAGTCCTTACTTGCTGAAGACTGGGAGTCAGTATGAAAAGAGGTGGGGTATGCTGTTCAAGTTCCTTACTACTCAAGAGGTGCAAGTTGATCTCTTTACAGCATGAAATGGATCTCCAACTTCCTCAAGCCCTTTGCCCTGTGGAACGGGTCTCTGCAAAGTCTCTCCAAATACTACAACTCCAATATATTTTGACTGCAAGATTAATTTCTAATTATGTTAATGCATATTTTGTCTACAGAAGCAGCTGGTGGTGACTCAGAGCGCATTCCAGCAGAGAATCCAGCAGACCGAGAATAAACTGCAGGAGCTGAGACAGGCTATGGACACCGTCAGGGTGAGTGTACTGACCAGAGAGGAGCTAGCCAGTTTAACAGCCAGCCAGTGAAGCCAGCCAGTGAAGTTCAGCACTTGCACAGGGCTCTACTCCAGTTAGCTTCCCAGCTTCACTGACCCAAGATGCTTCTGATAAAACCCTCCACGCTATGTGTCTCCTAACAGCGCCCTGCACAGGCAGCAGTGGAGGACAGTGAGAAGATCTTTACTGAAGCAATTCAGTCCATTAAGAGGAGACTCTCTGAGGTGAAAAAGCTGATCAGAGCTCAGGAGAAGACTGAACTGAGTCAGGCTGAAGAGCTCCTGAAGAAGCTGGAGCAGACGTTTGCTGATCTGAGGAGGAGAGATGCTGAGCTGGAGCAGCTTTCACACTCAGAGGATCACATCCATTTCCTCCAGGTAACATCACTGACTCTGATCATCTATAGTAACACAGTAGAAAGCATGTCCGTCACAAAGGGGTTTCCATTAGAACCACTCACAACCTCTTCTCAGTAAAGTTTGTTTCAGCTCTTGAAAGTTCAGTCTAACTCCATCTGTGTTTTTCATCTCTCTCAAGAGTTTCCAGTCTCTCTCTGCTCCTCCTCAACCTGCAGACTTACCCTCTATCACAGTCAGTCCACTGTTCTCCATGGAGGAACTGAGGAAAGTTGTGACGGGAGTAATGCAGCGAGTGGAACTGGAACTGGTCAAACTGTCTGGAGGTATACTGAATAATGTTAAAAGATTCATCCCATATGAATTAAATTAAATAGGAATTAAATTTCTTTGTTTCTTTTTGAATAGTCCTTAATGCTCTTATGCCAAAGACAAGAGAGGACTTCCTGAAATGTGAGTATCACAGACTTGCTCAACCATATATATTTGGTTCCCTCTTTACTAGCTATGTTTACACCTACACTTAGTGGTGTCCCTAACTGGAATTTTCTCTGGTTTTCATTTAATTAGTTAATTCTAACAAACCTTATAGGCTAAAAAAAAAAAGAAAGAAAGTCCTAAGCTGCATTAGATGTGGTGTGTGTTTGAGGGGGTATCACCTGGTTGGCAGTATATCCAAATATTTTCAAGAAGATTATTATTTTTAAATATTGACAAGTCCTCATAACATGTGGGCTTAATTGTTAAGTCATTGTGTCTGACTCCATTTCCCCAGTGGAGGTCACTGGGGTAGTTGCCAAGTTCCTTGGTGACTTGCCACCAAGGAACTTGCCAACTACCTCAGTGACCTCCACTGGGGAAGTTGGCAAGTTCCTTGGTGGCAAGTCACCAGGGATGGGTGAAATTAGCCCCGAAGTGCTTAAAGGTCTGGATGTTGTGGGCTGTCATGGCTGACATGCCTCTGCAATTTTGCATGGACCTCAGGAACAGTACCGTCAGACTGGCAGACCGGGTTGGTGGTCCCTATTTTTAAGAAAGGGGACCAGAGGGCATGTGCCAACTATCGGCGTATCACACCGCTCAACCTCCCTGGGAAAATTTATGCCAAGGTGCTGGAAAGGAGACCCTGACTGATAGTCGAACCTCAGATTGGGGAGGAACTATGCAGATTCCATCCCAGCTGTGGAACAATGGACCAGCTTTTCACCCTCTCGCAGATTGTTGAGGGGCATGGGAGTTTGGAAACCCAGTCTACATGTGTTTCATGGACTTGGAGAAGGCTTACGACAGTGTTCCCCGAGGTATTCTGTGGGAGGTCCTTTGGGAGTTTGGGGTGCTGACATACTACTGACATTCAATCTCTGTACACCCAGAGTGAGAGTTGTGTCCATATACTTGGCATTAAGTCAAGCTCGTTCAGTGTTAGTGTTGGACTCCACTAAGGTTGTGCCTGGTCTCCACTTCTTTTTGTGATATTAATGGACAGAGTGTCAAGGAGTAGCCAAGGTCAGGAGGGCATTATGTGTGGAGACCGGAGGGTGTTGTCTTTGCAGTTTGTGGATGATGTTGTCCTTTTGGCTGGATCACATGGTTGCGTCCAGCACTCACTGGAGCGGTTTGCAGCTGAGTGTGAAGTGGTTGGTATGCAAATCAGCACCTCTGAGTCCATGGTCCTAGGACAGAAAAGAATGGCATGCCCACTCCAGGTAAGGGGAAAGGATCTGCTCAGGTGGAGGAGTTTTGTATCTCGGGGTCTTGTTCACAAGTGATGGGGAGAGGGATTGGAGATCGGCCGCAGGCTGGGACAGGCGGCAACAATAATGCAGTCTCTGTACTGGACTGTAGTGGTGAAGAGGGAGTTGAGCCTAAGGCAAAACTCTCTGTTTACCGGTCGGTGTACATCCTGACCCTCACCTGAGAGTGGCTCAGTAGTGTGTATCAGGCACAACAGTGTTGCTGGGGTTCTAATGCTGATTTGCTAGGCTGAGTCAAAGAGACACTCTCACACCTACCAACTCCGACTAAACTTGCTCACTCAGCCACAATAGCACTAGACCTATTGCTGGGCACACTGCAAAAAACTTAAAGCAACTATAAACCATCAACACTCTGTCGGAGCTAACAGCCTGTTGGACATGTCAGGAGGATCTTCATGTCAGACAGATCCTTCGTGTGACTTTTGGGTTGAAAAATAGTTCTCCAGTCACAAAAGTTCAGCCAAAAGCAGCTAACCAAACACCAATGAAGAGCTATAGAACATAAATCATATGGGGGTAAAAAAGGCTTTCTATTTGTATACCTATAAGGTTCCAAAAAAGGTAGGTGTATCTGAAGTGACCAGTAAGTATGTGGCTATATTACAGCCCTTATTATCAGCCCCATACTACAGTTTCTACAGTGGCCCCTCAGCCAGACTCAGTAAAGCCTATACAGAGATCCCTCTAGGATTGCTGGCAACTTTAATTAAGAATAGGCTATTGAAAAATCTTTTAAAAACATAATCCAGTCTTTAAGTGCGATAAAACTGTTCAATGAAAGGCATTCATTTAAAAAATTCATATTTTTCAAAAAACCCAACAGTTATCGTCAACCCTTTAAGTAAATTAAATTGCTTTTCCTATTTCTATTTTTATATGTTTGTGACTGTCATTAATACTAATTATTAGTATTAGTAGTTAGTTATTTACCAGCTGTAAGAACTTGAAATTCACCTATTGTACCCTAAAATTTACTTGAATAGGATATATTATCTGTCTTGGTTTGGGCAGGTTGTGTTAAGCTCTTCAATTTGCATGACAGTGTATGAAAGGCAATATTTGAAAAGCATGAAGAAATAATAAATAATACATGAGGGATAACAGTGTTAAAGAGATAGTACTAACATTCTTTTCCTCTCCTCCACCAGATTCCTGTCAGCTCACTCTGGATCCAAACACAGCAAACAGAAAACTCGCTCGGTCTGAGAGGAACAGAAAAATGACAGTGATGCATCAGACTCAAACATATCCTGATCATCCAGAGAGATTTGACAGCATGCAACAAGTTTTCTGTAGAGAAAGTCTGTCTAGATGCTGTTACTGGGAGGTTGAGTTTGTCATGGGTAATTTTAATATTGCTGTGTCTTATAAAGACATCAGCAGGAAAGGGGAAGGTAATGACTCTAAATTTGGGTGTAATGATCAGTCCTGGAGTCTGATCTGCTTTGGCTCCAGTTTCTCATTCAAACACAATAATGAACAGACTGAACTCTCTGTGAACTCCAGCTCCTCCAGAATAGGAGTGTATGTGGATCACAGTGCAGGAATTCTGTCCTTCTACAGCGTCTCTGACACAATGACCCTCCTCCACAGAGTCCACACCACATTCACTCAGCCCCTCTATCCCGGATTTGCGGTTTATATTTATGATCACTTTCTTCGAATATGTGATCTTAATTAAAATGTGCTTTGTCAGAACACAAACACTGCAAAAAGAAAGACATGTTGAAATCATCTTGAATCTAGTCAATACAGCAATTAATAAAATGTTTAAAACAAGCAAAATGATTGCCCATTTCACAAGATCACTTTAATACACTACTTAAAACAAGTAAAATGCCTAAATTACAATATATATTATATATAAATTGCTAAAAATATCAAGTTTTTTTAAGATGACCTCAAATTTCAAATCTCATGAATTCTTACTTTATTTAATATATTACATATCGCTGTTCTCAGGAGAAAACCTTGTATCTCCATTTTTGATGTTTTTTCAGTTTTTGACATAATTTGAAAAAATCTGTTGCCTTTTTGTCTGTAAGTTTCATGATGAATGGACTAAAAGAAATGACCCAAAATGACTTGAAAAAATGTCTGGTTCCACTGACTTACATTAAAAGTAAAGTCGTTTTTTTCATTCCCCTGTAAAGTTATCATTTTGGAGATTTTTCTTCTGACAACATTAAAATATTATGAACTCTCCATGTATGTGCATAGTATGAATGAAATGAGGGTGAAGAGCGCAATTAATGAGAATGACATACAATGTGTTTCGAACCACCCCTGCCTCACTTCCTGCCTATAATATAGCTAGTTTCACCCCTCAGCGTCTTGTATCTCCCTCCCAACATAACTCATATCAAACTTGCGTATATAATTTGGATATCTTAAAGAGTTTATATCTGCATATTTTGTGTTGGCATAGTGCATATAGTGTGTATTATAATGTGTTTATGTTGTAGGTTTGTCACTTTATTTTTGTGGAGGACAGTGCACTTATGTTTGTTAAGGTGTTTATTTTGTGTATTTACTACTGTGGAAATGTGATGTGACAATAAAAGTGATTTGATTTGACTCAATGGCTTAGTAATGCCTTTCAGGTTTCTCAAACGCTAGAGGGCGCTCCCGAGCGAGTCCAAAATAAATGGATTAAGATGGACCATTTGAGCAAAATCAGAGTTTATAAATGCTTAAACATTTTAATGTAAAAGAATACAATCATTTCTTGAACACAGTTTAAAACGCCGCCTCATGTATGTCCATGACGTCTGCGAGTGTGAACAGCCAATAAGCTGCTCCACTCGCCAACCAATCAGCACTCAGTAGCAGTAATGCCAGCGTCCTGCTGCCCAAAACCCATTTACTGTAGAAAAAAGGAAACATATAGGTAAGTTTTCTTTGATTGTTTTAGTGAAATACATCCTTCTAATTTCTAAAATTAAGGAAAGTTCTGGTTCAGTGATTAGAAACTTATAACTTTCCGTTTTTAGTCATTGAGCTCCATTTACTCCCATTCATTGAGGACTCGCTCGCAGGCACCCTCTGCTGTTTTGCAGTCCTGTTTTTGATATAACGGAGGGGATAGGAAGTGGCCAGGCTCCTCATAAACTGGCTTTATTAATACCTGGAAATGTATTGTGTTTGCCAGGGGTCAGTAACATGCGGATCTTTTACTGCCCTCTTGCGGCTCCACAGCAGAATTAGATTTTTAGGTTAAAATAAAATAATCCTCCTGGGCCGTAACAAGAAGCTTTACTGAGCCTTCTAACATGCAGTTTCAACAATAAATGGTCTTAAATGCTGCTAATTCCCCCTTTAACTCTGAAGGTTGGCTCACAGACTACTGATCACACAGTAACGCAGACAACAACCTCACCTAGCTAGTAGCTAAAGAAATGGCAAAGGAGAGGAAGATTTAAGACCGACATCAGTAATTTAGAGAGCATGGGCAGTCTTATTTGCATTTTTAAGCATTTGAGCTGGTTTCCTGATACATTTAATCTGCAAAGACAAACTGTCAAATACTAAAAAGTCGCTTGTTTGAACTTTCCTGTTCCATCTTAAATGGTGCAGTTACATTCTGGCGCCTCAGGCACCATTTAAGGTGGAACAGGAAAATTTGAACAAGAAGCTAGCAAATGAAGGGAATTCAGCCCTGTAAAAAAACCTGAACGCTAAGAGACATTTTACAGGAAACTATTCTACTTTGTGGAAATGTTTCCTGCCGGAGATGCGAGAAAAGCGGCTGTAGCTGGGCTAAAGCTTTAAACAGAGCAAAGTAAGTCTGCGTTTTCATTTCTATTATATTTTTAGCCTTTACTAGTACATCAGCACATACTGGGACATATTTACAGCCACGATGTTGCGGCTCTCAGGGTGGATTGATTATTGTTAAAAGGACAAAATAGCTCTTAATATTTAGGTTGCCGACCTCTGGTGTTAGCTGTCAGCAAGTGGACCAGCAATGTTATAGAGGTAAGCTAAGACAAAGCGCTTAGCCAAGAGGCAAATACTCACTGTGTCCCCTCAGCAGGTCTCTTTTTCCGCTTTGGGCGCAACCAAGTTTGTTAGCACCAGAGACCAAATTTTTACATCAAATCAGTATTAATAATAGGAAAACACCTAAAAATGTATTATATGTAATAATATGTAATATAATTATTTATTAATAATAAGCAATAACAATAAAAAAATAATGTAATGTTTAAAAGTAAATCGTTTCATTTAACACTCCAGCGTTTTCCTGCAAGTTCACTAAAGCAGTTCCTCTCCTCACAGGTTGGTGGCGCTGCTTCATTTTCTGAGAAAAATGCAGGTTGTGATTTTGATCAGAGACGTTATAAGGGCTTTGTTTTTATTCCGTTTAATATTCATTTTAATACATTTCTAAATTAAATAGAATCGAGCACAGCTCTTCTGTTTCTCTTATTTACAGATACAAGCAGCAGTAATGTAACAGACATCAGCTGGTGGAGTGACTTTAATGCCGTCCTCCGTTTTTCATCCATGTTGTTTTCTCCCAATCTCATTGGTTCATGAGCTCAAACACGTACAGAGAGTCACTCCCACAGAATGAACAGATCAGCGGAGAAACGAAAGTAAAGTCTCTCTTTCTCTGCTCGCTCTGTTCGTCTCTGTGTGCAGTAAAATGGCGGAAGCCGCTCTAAAAACTCTGGACTGTCTAAACTGTCCGATCTGTCTGGATCTACTGAAGGATCCAGTGACTATTCCCTGTGGACACAGTTACTGTCTGGACTGTATTAAGGACTGCTGGGCTCAGGGTGATCAGAGGGGGGTCTACAGCTGCCCCCAGTGCAGACACAGCTTCACTCCAAGGCCTGTTCTCAACAAGAACACCATGCTGGCTGAACTAGCTGAGGGTCTGAGGAAGACGAGGCTCCAAGCTGCTCCTCCTGCTGGATCTCCTGCTGGATCTCCTGCTGAATCTGGAGATGTGGAGTGTGACGTCTGCACTGGATCAAAACTCAAAGCTGTTAAGTCCTGTCTGGTGTGTCTGCTCTCCTTTTGTGAAACTCATATTCAGCCTCATTATGAATCTCCTGCCTGCAAGAAGCACAAGCTGGTTGAAGCCTCCATGAATCTGCAGGAGAAGATCTGCTCTCTTCATGATAAGCTTCTAGAGGTTTTCTGTCGCACTGATCAGCAGTGTATTTGTCTGCTGTGTGTAATGGATGAACACAGTGGTCATAAGACAGTTTCAGCTGCAGCAGAAAGACCTGAGAAACAGGTAAGACTTCACTGTAAGTCCTGCAGTAGCTGGTCTGTCAACATGCAAAGCAGCACAGTGAGTGAACTTCAGCCAGACGCACACAGCTGTAAAACAACACAGTGATAGATGAAATTAGTGGTGTAATATGCATGTAACAGAATTTGTATGGAATGTGTAGTTTTTATGCTCACTTAGTGTGTGTAATGGACAAAAACAGTGGACAAATCCTTAAAAGGAGCCTTATTAATATAACACTGTATCCCTTATATGGTATATACAGTACTTTTCAGATTGCAGTACTTTTTCACTTTTTCAGTGTTTGACCAGTTCATAAATCAGCATGTAAATATGAATTTGTTGTATTTTGTCTACAGAAGCAGCTGGTGGAGAATCAGAAGAAATTCCAGCACAGAATCCAGCAGGCCGAGAATAAAGTGCAGGAGCTGAGACAGGCTATGGACAATCTCAGGGTGAGTATACTGACCAGAGGAGAAGACAATATCTGGCTCCTCAAAAGAGCCACCCCTGGCTCAATGGAGCTGTAGGCGTCCCACCAACATAAATTTACCTAAAAATTCAAATGAAACAGCTCTATTTCCATGAAAAAAGCCATTAACTTTAGCTACTGTCATAAAATTAACTACCAACAGTGTTACGAATAACATAAGGAAAAGAATGTCAAATTAAACAAAGCCCACTTTGCAAACCCCACTGTGGGAAAGTCAGTTAAAGAGCCGCTTCAGATGAAGCCCCTCCTCTCTGTGTGTCTCCTAACAGTGCTCTGCACAGGCAGCAGTGGAGGACAGTGAGAAGATCTTTACTGAACTGATTGAGTCCATTGAGAGACGACGCTCTGAGGTAAAAGAGCTGATCAGAGCTCAGGAGAAGACTGAACTGAGTCAGGCTGAAGAGCTCCTGAAGAAACTGGAGCAGGAGATTGCTGATCTGAGGAGGAGAGACGCTGAGCTGGAGCAGCTTTCACACTCAGAGGATCACATCCATTTCCTCCAGGTAACATCACTGACTCTCTCATCATCTACAGAGTGTGTGTCCCACACAAAGTTCTTTCCATTATAAGTGTAAATTTCTCAGCTCTAAAAAGCTAAATCTGTGTTTCTTTATCTCTCTGCAGAGTTTCCAGTCTCTCTCTGCTCCTCCTCAATCTGCAGACTTACCCCGTATCACAATCAGTCCACAGTTCTCCATGGAGGAACTGAAGAAAGCTGTGAATGGAGTGATGGAACGAGTGAAACCAGAAATAGTCAAGTTCTCTGGAGGTGGAATAAATCATGTGTACAGACTAATCCTATGGAAGAGAATATAATTCTATTATCTTCATTTTCAATAGTCTGTAAAGCCTTTTCATGTCAGATTGACAGAATGTCTCACAAATCCAAGTCTAGAGGATCACAGTCACATAGACGTCTTATAGAATAAACTTTAGCTTTATTGGAGCTTCAAGATACCAAACAACACATTTTAAAGAAAGATTTGTATGTTAGCCAAGATTTTAATCATTATTATAATGTATTTTCCCATTCCATTGACCATTAGCTACTCATATAATTTGATAAATGACAACATGTTTATATTTATAATTATATGATAACTTATTATTTGATAGACTAGACCAGTATTTGTCCCACAAACTTTACCTGATCTTCCCAAAGATTATGTCGATTATCCTGACCCCCATCAGGGTCACTCCACACTTTATCTTT